GGAGATGGATCTGGGGTGTCGTGACGGGCCCTCCTCGGAGGAGATGGATCTGGGGTGTCGTGACGGACCTTCGTTGGAGGAGATGAATCTGGGGTATCATGATGGAAATTTCTCTGTGGGGATATGTCTTCCTTGTTACCTATACACAAAGAACAAAGAATCAGATTCCCCACAGATGCTCTGTTTATCCCAGCACCCACTTTCAAAAGCAGACCATAGAATCAAATGCCTATTGGGAACTCAACAATTCATCAAATATTTATTAATGGGACAGCCTGTAATGTAAAAACTAGATCTTGACTCTGCTCAGACATGACAAACAAATGCCCTTTATCCAGCTGAATTCTTAAGAACTCAACATATGCTTTAAATAGGGAGTTATTAGCCTACAAAGAGGGTGGAGCGTGAGCAAGTGGAAGATAATGCACTATAAAATACCAATAATTACGTGAAAAAAAGAGAAAGATAAACTCACACAAATAACAAGGACAGAAAACTTTGCTCTTTGACTCCTACACAAGCCACTTCATTCTGAAAAAGGGCAAAGGCTGCTGAGCTCTTTCCTTCTCCTTCTTGTAAATTCTTCCTGAAGTCCTGTCTCTAAGCTAAGTGCTCTTCTTTCCTAGGCCAGAAAAGAGTGGGCACTGAAAGGCCCCCAAATGAGTCACTTCTTGACCTCAGTAACCCTAACACCAAAATATAAGAGAATTGGATACTAGGTCTCTCAATTCCCAGGTCTTATTACCTCTGAAGAAGTTTTGAATTCTTATTCACATTCTATTTTTTAGGATCAATGACACGCTGAAACAAACAACATTTCCCTAAAAGAAGAATATAGAGAAGCAAAAAGTCTTCCCTCAGAGATGGGAAATTGCTGGAACTCACCTCCTAAAAGCTTCCACTTGGCACTGGAACGAAAGGCTTCCATCTGCTTCACCTCTTCTGGCCGCTCATCCACAAACTCGGCCACCTGTGTGAGTAAGGACAGTTTGTTAGGGAGAGCCACAGAAGTCAGCAAGGAGCACTGTTATCTCAAGAACCTGAAGCCAGGACATTTCCCAGACACAACAGTTTGGTACCTGACTCTAACACAGTCATAAATAAACATGTACTGGCCCTCAGTTATGTTTGCTCCATACACAAGTTTATCAGTAAGTGATTTACTTACAGATGATTCTGAGACTAATCAATTTACCACTGAAGGTTAATTTTATTCATTACTCTTTTTTTTTTTAATTAATCTGCCAGGGACACAATTGTCATTTATAAGCTAAAAGTTTAATTTCACCTGCCGTTTTACTTTGACATTCAGAATAAAAACACAGGCAGGCTCCTTGTCACGGAGCCTCAGGTTCCTTGTAAACTCTTTCTTATTACAGGCAGTCACAATGATAGGTGTTCTTGGCACTGGGGTTAAGTCTCAGTGCTATCAAGCTATCACCTGCCACTGTGGCCTGAGTTCGACCCCCAGCCAGGGAGCTGACCCATGTGGTACAGCAGACCTCTCCTGTCTCCTCACTGGCCCCCTCAGCAAAATATTTCAGTATATCTGCCTGTTCTGCTCCCCACACTGTCTCTCGTGAATCCTCTCACCCCTTGTACCTCTTGACCTATACCCCTGTTCTTGCATGCTTCACCTCTTCTGGCTGTTCATCCATAATAAATAAAAAAATAAATCTCTTTTTAAATTGATAGGTTTTCGAGGTTCCTCAAACTGCTAAACATGGAGCTTCCCTATGACCCAGCAATCCCACTCCTAGGTATCTACCCAAAAGACACAAAAACACTGATT